CTGGTGAGGACCATGGAAATAGTCCATTTGGACTAGTCTAGTCCATGGTCCTAACTTTTATACTCTAAAATTGCTCTGTTCGTTACATCTTTTAAAAGATTCTTTGTTAAAGAATGGATGCAGCTTCCAATACAGGTTTTATGGTAGCATACATTTTCCTTAAATATAACTGAGGGGCCAGAAGCCTATAAAATAAACATAAATATATTAATGATGTTTGTCAAAAAAAAATGTGTATTTCATGATTGCCAGAAAAATTCTCTCCTTCCGTTCACCTCAAGTTATTTTTTATCTAAAACGTTTTTATTGTACATGTATATGGGTCACTATTTAAGTGATTTGTATTATGCAAGAATAGATAACCTAAATTCACACACATGTATTAATACATTTCACCAACTTCTCCCACTCTAGCTTGGTGCTAAGTTCTGGCAATAGTTAAAAAAATAACTCTCTATCCAAATTTGAAATTGTAGTGAAACAATTAAAAGAATTTTATTTTTCTGGCATGTAATCTTTTAAAACTAAAAGAAATATTTTGATTTGAATGAATAACTGTTTATAATTTGCTTGCATAAGGCACAACATTTCTGTTTGCTCATTGTTATGTATTTTACTACATTGTCAGTAGAAAAAAAAAAGGATATTGGACTTGCCTCAACATTCTCTTCGTCACTGTCACTCTCAAAAATTCTGTTTGATTTTCTCTTTCGCTTTCTTCTACCATAACTTGGTGTTTTTGATTTCTCACCATTTTTTTCATGGTGTTCTCTGAAAGGAATCAAATCTTCTCTTTTATCTGCAAGAATAAACAATAGCATGTATAAAAATTTTATGTGAACACAATAAGCTGTATTTTATTATATAAAAGAATCTCACTGCACACATTTTTGCCACATAAAATAATAAATTTACTTTGTTGATTTACACACATTTTATGTGAATAAATAATCAAAACACGACAGTCTACAAACTTTGCAAGACTGCTGAAAGGCAACGGAATGAGGTATTAATTGTCAACTGCCCAGAACATGAAGGACACCGCAGTGCCAACATCCAACCAGGTGCCACTATTGGAGATGAACGCAGTGCATCCATCAAATGCATGGAAGGACAGAAATTTACTGTCAGCCATTTCACTTCCGATGGGGACAGTAAAGGTCACCATGGCTTTGAAATGACACAGCATGAACCAGTTGATCACCTGATAGACATTAGACACCTGTGTGGTGGACTGAAGAAAAAAATAGGCAATACCGCCTTCTCTGCTACTATGTTTCCTGGGAAGACAAGAGCATCTAAGGATAAACTTAAAAATCGCTTTGCCCATAATTTGGTTGCCAGATGCAATACAGAACACACAAAGGCTTTCAAGCAGTATTGCGGATGTCTGGAAATTATAAAAAATAAATTATCATTCACTGTTGATGCCATCGTTGAATGTTATAGAGGGAACTGTGGAGAAATGTGCAGAAAATATTCATCTATTTGCACTGGTAGGAAACGCAATAAATGGAACAAATCATTTTTACCACTTGACACTGAACTGAATATGTCTGAGACAGACAAAGAACAATTACGAGGAATAATTTGGATGCGACTTGGTCCAAGTGCACTAGAAAAAACAAAATTTATGACAAGCACACAAAAAACTGAAGCTGTGCACCGTAGTTATTCAAAAACAAATCCAAGGAGCATTACTTGGAGTAGAAATTTTGCACCTAGAATTCATAGCGCTATCATGATCTGAACACTGGAAGTGCAAATTCTGTACTTAAAAATGTGAGGCTATTGGCGCCCCGTTGAATTTAATGAAGTCATTAGAGCGAGAACAAATTAACAATGAGAGACATGCAAAAAGACAGAAATCTAAAAAATTTAAAATAAATAGAGGAAAACTCAGAAAAACTAGATTTGATTTATACGATAAAGTAAAGAACTCAGAAAAACAAAATACTTATGTTAAAGGGATGTATTTAAATGTACAGTCCTGTAAAAAAAATTAATATAAATGTAAAATAATTGACCATACTTACAGCAAGACCATGAAAAAATAAAATGCAGTTATTAGAGCACAACAATTTTCGACTATTGTTAACCCCTCGAGGTTCCAGTGAGATGTGAGATGTGAGTTGGGGCCACGCACAGGCTATTGTGACACAGATGTGATACATTTCTCCCACCACAGCATGTATTGCAGTCTGTGGACATGCACAGTACTCCACTTTCTAGAGGCAGGAAATCTCACTCTTATGGTGCCATATTGTGTCCCCCTGCTTGATTTTATATACCCTCTCCAAATGATGCAGCCCAATAAGTTTTCAACTTGCCTAGAGTTCAAATTAACTTTGTCAGAATAGTGCTTTCGCCAAATGTCATCCATGATTAATAGAGGTCAATGGGGTCAAATGAGATCAAATAATGTAAAAATAAATCACAAATTATTAAACATTATTTCAACCAAAAAAGTTTCAATTCCAACAAAAATTACAAATTTAGGGGAGATACAAGTCAAGCAGGTGGTTCCACATCAAATATTGGTTCAGAAGGGCTCATACCACTAATTGAAACTCCATAGACGACAATGTTAACATATGACGAGATTGCTATATGAAAATAATAAACAAAGTTGAAAACATAGCTCTAAAATGGGAAATCAACATGTTGGCCAGCTCAAACTCTTGCAAAACTCAGGTAAACAAGACACACCTACTGTATTTGGACTGCACCTAGAGAAATCACTGGGAAAACACCAAGAATAGAACATCCAAATACATACAGAATAATCCCACAGGTACACAGCCGCTAAGTAGTAAACAAAAGACCACATGTTAGTCTCACCTCTGACCCAGGTGATCGCGCCCTCAAACAGGGAACAACTGAGAAAAAAAATATTAAAAAAATTTCATTGGTTCTTGCTAGGCATTTAAATTGAGAGGCTACGAGCAGCCATTGGTTGATTAGTGGCATGAGACCTTATTAAGAGAAATAAGAAGGTTAGACAATTTGCTCATGCCTCCTGCGGGTGATAGAACAACTTCAGGTGATCAACACTTGATAATTAAAATTTATGCAAATTCACAGAATTCGGAGATATGAAGGAAAGTTGGACTCATAGTGGCACTATACATTTCACATACTACAGCCCCAAGTGAAGAGATTTACCATCTGGCCAAGTGTCCTTGTACCTAAAATTGTCTCCCAAGTGCTAATTTCAATGCTATTTTACTAAATAAAACCAGGAATACTATGTGTTTCTAAAACATTGTGACTGCAGCGCACATAGTATTATTCGTCAGTGTACTGAAACCATCAGACTGACTTCTAATAAAATGTCTATAGACATTCTATAGTGTTGGTATATATTAGAAATTAAATTGTCTCCAAAGTCCTAATTTCAATGCTATTTTACTAAATAAAACCAGGAATACTATGTGTTTCTAAAACATTGTGACTGCAGTGCGCATAGTATTATTCATCAGTGTACTGAAACCATCAGACTGACTTCTTTGGACTTTCTATAAAATGTCTATAGAAATTCTAGTGTTGTTATAGTAGAAAACTATATACAAATATTATAATTGCGATTTTCCTAAACATACATGAGTATAGCTTGCTTGTGTAATGTTAGAAATATTATAAAACATTACAGTATCAAGCAAAGGATTTCTATAGAAAATCTATAAAAAGTCTATTCAAAATTCTACATAATGTTACCTTAGAAGAAAATTACATTGTGTGATAATTTTAGGAAAAAAAAATTCAAATTCTGTTTATTTGTTTTGGGAATTGTGATTTTTAAATCTTTAAAGTGATTTCAGGTGGGTTCTTAGAAATTCCATAAAAGTCTATCCAATGTCTATAGAATTATAACTACCGAAAGTCTATTGAAAACTTCAACTCTATCAAAATTCTATAAGACTTCTATAGAAGTATATAGAAGTTCTATAGAACATTTTCGTAAAGGTATGTTTGTTATTTGACTGTATTTGTAAGCTTACATACATCAAATTGCCAAATAAAAGTTACGTAGGGCAATCCGGGGGGGGGGGGGGTCTAGGTCGATAATCTGCTGTATGCGTTCACAGGCTGTGAGCAACTTTCAATCACTGAAATATGGTAACAGCATAGATTTATTTTTCCGTAATGAGTCTTTTTTTCTGTAATGAGTCTTTTTTTCCGTAATGAGTCTTGTAACTGCAAAGACTCCCATTGTGTGCTTCACACACAGGAGTAAAAAATGACAAGGAAAATGGTCAGGGAACAATAAGTGATTATTTCCAGACTAAAGACTGTATTTAATAAATTTGACATTGAAAATGTTGATGATTTTTTCAAAGTGATCTTATATGAGTGAAACCAGTTATCTTTAAAAAGTAGTATGATGGTAGATTACCATTTGTTGTATAATAATTCATGTCTTTACTATTTATTATGAATGACACTCATGACAGATATGCCACAAACAGGAGCCAGTTTATTTGTGCATATTTGTCTTGAAGCAGGAGGGTCGTCACCTGTGCACGCGCAAGAATCGAGTCCCAACTGACGATAACAACACACACTTGAAACGCAAAGTCTCATGACGCTTGACACGCTATGGCCGCCTGACGCATGCACAGGTGACGACTCCCTCGCTTTGAATGAGATCAGTCAAGACATGTGCCAAATTGTCTGCACGAAACAGTATAGTTGTTAATGAGATAGCATTCACATCTTTATGTCATTGTACATAGCATAGGGTATGGCAGGCAACTAGTAAAAACAGCCTTGTTTACCAATATCATTTATTTTGTGTGAACCTTTCTTTGTAGATGTGAAACATGTACAACCAGAACATGCAACTTTCTTTTGATGAAGGCAGGGATATGTTCACATGACTTGGCTTAATACATGTACTACTGGGGTATATTAAAATAACCCAATTACCCATCTCATAAACAAGCACTAACCTGATTAGCCACAATTCTACCATCGATATTACGGTATCTACAGTCAATTTAATAGCTTTCCAAGAACCGAAGGTCTAAAACTACTCCAAGTCCACTTAGTTTACCCATCTCATTCATCATAATATTTTTGCTCAACTCTGGAATACTCAGATTCAATCCACTAAATAAATTCAGCAACTGAAATAAATGATGAAACTTAAAGTTAAATGCCGTGCAGACGAGTACTATTTACAAAATGAATAGGCCAACTAACATATCAGTCAACAGTTTTTGCCAAAAAAGAATGGCATTTTATTTGGGAGTAGAATAGTGTGACACACTACTTTCCCAATCATAAGCCCAGGGGCCTAAAACATGTAAAATCAGGGAAAGTAAGGTTGGGCTTATACTCAAGGACCACCTCAAAAAAGATGATTTTGTTTTTGGTTTACCATTGTAATCATCTTACCACCTACAACAAATTATCCGATATTATGTCTTTTTTAAGAAAAAAAAGCAAAACGAGTCGTCATTGACTTTTACAATGAACATGTTCATAAAGATACACACATTTTATTATAATACAATTGACATGCCATCTGAATTGACAGTGTAACAAGCAGCCTGTCAGCTGAGATAGCTCCGCTGTTAGCAATGCACATTTCAATTAAAGAACAGAAGATATCATTAGAAATATCAAAGCAACGGGACTTGATGTTTTCAACAAGAATTTAAAAATATCACTTTTCACCAAAAATGACAAAAATAATTAATTGAAGATATCACCACGAAATTAACAAATCTGAAAGAGGTCCACATGTAGTACCTATATATGTATCGCAATAACTCGAATAATTCGCAGTCTCTATTAATTCGCTCACCCATTTTATTAACAAGCGCTAATTTTTAAATGTATACTTTTAATTCGCGGCGTTCAAAAACATGTTTAAAATTGTATCCTATTAATTCGCGGGCAAGAATAAAGTGGATTTATTTTGTTTGAGTTTTTATGTTATCAGTACTTGGTGTAGCTAGCCACAATCGCAGACGATCTCCGTCATCACAGCCTTTCAGTTAGCAAGTAGTTTAGGTTTGGTCAAGATTTGA